GGCTACTGTACACGATCGAAATACTAGAAATGAGAACAAATTAGATATTTCGGGATACAAATCTGATGCTAGGCAGCGATCTTTTCTGTACCGATCAGTAACTATGTGGAACTCATTGCCGACTGCCATCACTGATTGTAATAACCTAGCAATGTTTAAGAGAAAATTGAAAGATTATCTTTTCCGATTGCATTTTTCAAATAGTTAATTGTATCATTATACGATGATTGTTATATATTCACAAATTAGGACTGAACGCCCTTTTATTGTAGATAATATTTAATATTCATTTGTAAATTAGGATTGATAGGTAGTTTTCCTATTGTAGACAATAACCAATGCATTTGTGTAAATTAGGACTGAAAAGCCTTCTTGGAGCTCTAATAAAGATCTTATCTTATCTTATCTTATCTTATGGATCGTTATGTGATGCAGGTAGACCAAATATGACTAGCACGTGTTAAGTCCATATTTTGTTGCGGTTATATCCTCTTGTAAATGAAGTTGCGCCGGCTGCCAAAATCAGAACTAGGGATTAAAGGAAGTATCTAGTAACGAGACTGAGAGACAGAAAACCTGCCAGAGGCAATACCTCCATTAATCATAAGGATTAAAATTTCCTCAAATGTAGTGCATTAGCTGCTATTTTTTTAACTGAGTCCACTCGGCTAAATCTGCCAATCACAGACTACAACAAACATACCAATAACCATACGAAACTGAGGAATTTTCACTGAAAATGGAGGAATTTCGTAATGTAGAAACTGTCTACACCAGAGATATTTTTCTGAAATAAATATATTTGTTATTTTTTGGAAATCTTAATGGCTATGATTAAATGGTAACAGGTCTTCATGTAATCCATAATAATGTAATCTGTAATTATGCTCGTGATTGACAAATAACTCGTATAATCACAGACCGAACTGAGGTATGTCACTATGAATTTTCATTTAGGATTATGATAAAGTTCGGATATAACGCGCGCTGCCATTGGTTGAAAGAGCGTGCTCTATGAGAGTATAAAGCATAGAGCTGAGCTAAAGCTGTCACACCATCTGCCAAATTGTACTGTGTTTGACCTTTTCCGGGACTTCTTTTTAGTTTTTGCCGATAATTGAAAGTGAAGTTTCGGAACTGAAGCGAGCCGGCAAGTAGCAACAGAAGAACCAAACAAAGGTTTGTAAACATACCAGGCGCCGTAATTTACTTTATTAAAACGTGAGCAGATACGAAAATCCTCAAAGGAAAAACAAAATAAACATTCCGAGTTTTAAAGATTTTCACGCTCAGTTAGATTGAAAGCTTACGTACGGTAATAAAAATCAAACACAGCTAACACTCGTATAGTATATAAAGTTCAGTGTTCAAAAACAAAACAGAACAAAACAGAAATGATGAAAAATATAACCAAACTGGCATAATTGTTAAAGTTCATACTAATCATGACGGTGTCTGAGCGAATATGATCATGCTGAAGTTCATCACGGCTCGTTCATCATGGCGATCTCCGGTCATCACAGTAAAGTAAGCCTCAGAAACTATATCGGCCGCCCTTCGAGTGAAAAAATAAGAGCTTGCTCTAGTATCCTTTCCGATACGTTGAGTGGAAAGTCACATCACTCACTGCAGCCGTGTTTTACGGCGCTGTCATCCCGAGCGATCTTCATGTTCCGGTGAATTCGGCTGTCGTTCATTCAAAAAACACTCGCCTTGAACAATTTGTTTTCTACCTTGTCATGTGAAAAAACTCGCGTGTTTTTATGAGCCATAATTCGCCTGAAGTTCACTGAACATTCCACTTCAAGATTCTGTATTAGAGACTTAAAAACTTCAGGCAAAAGTGTTAAATTCGACTTGCCGAACTATTTTAGTTTGTAAACTATCGTAGAATGTGAACTTTGATGGTTTTTGAACTTTGATGGTTTGACACTTTTGACAGCTTTAGTCTTGTACAGCCAATCAGATTATTTGAACCATTCTAACAGAGATTCTGATTGGCTTATGAGAGTATAGAGCATGCTGACGACACTGAAAATTGAAAGTAATGCTTGGAGAATTTAATGGATTCTTTATTATAAAACAAATAGAGAAGTCTTGACTGTGCTCTGTTCGAAGAGGTGAGGAGACACACTCGACTACGTCTCGTGTTTCTCCCTACACTTCTTTCGTGCTCTAGCCGCTTCCTGCGTGCTTTATAACAGAACAGAGCACAGTCTCTATTTGTTAAATAATGTGCACATGTTAAACCTGCTGTCTAAATGAGCCTGAAATATTCTGCTCTTTTTTATTTTAATTTCTTTTTGTTTTTGTCGAGAGAAAGTAAAAAATTTTAAAGAAGCAAAGATGTTGAAAATTATCACCCAGGTCGACTGAACTGCACTCGGCGAACTCACAAATTCAGGCTAGATATTTCAATACGGATTCTTACTACGACGTACATGGCTCCAACGAAAAATGGAGAATATCTGAAGCGTCAAATTCATTAATTTTACAGGTTGAATTGCTTCTGGAGCTCGAGGAATCCCTCCCACAATGGATTTTAAAACGCGTGCAGATCGGTAAATATCAAGAGTTTCCAAACAGAAAATCCAAGCTACAAACCAGAGTAAGACATTGCTGAATAATAATTAGAGACTATTCAAAATGTTTTATACAACAGCAAATGTTCGGGCGTGCCGACTTAGAAATGGACGAAGATCAGTCTGTCAGTAATGGGCCGTGGGCGAGTTCAGTTGGAAAGTGTCGAGTCCATTCTACAGTTCAAAAATATGAAATAACTTTAACTTAAGAGTACCTTGGCTAAAAAAGAGCTTATGATCATGGAATTCTACGCATAAAAACATGTTAGGGCACTCGTCGGACTGTGAAATTATAGAATTTTTGTATCACGCTTGATGTTTATTTACTAAATTCAATTTTGGTCATTCTTAATCACATTAACATTTCGGCCAATCAAAGACGATATTTTAAATTTTGAATATGAAACGTCCATTGTAAGGAACAAGTTGGATAAAGATGCATTGCTATATTCATTTATCAACTCATCATTCACTTAACCGGATATGATTTCATTTTTCAAGCTTTACGAGAAGATCATTGGGTTTGGAAAAGCAGAAAGTAAAGGAGAGGACGACGGCGTTCCTCCAGCCATGGCGCAGATTATTGGCAGGATGATGGAACAAGATGCAAAGTGAAAAAAATTAATTTCGGAAATATACAAATCAAACATCCGACAAGCTTATCCCCGCTTTCTCCAAACTATTTTTAATCACTGATAGGCGAATTTAGCTTTAGGAAGACCACCCTTTTACTTAATTTGAGATTTCAGAACTCGTTAAAGCTGATGAAAATGTGTATGGTTGCCGTAGCACTACTATTATCTGGTTTCTGATTGAGCTACTAACTTACTCCTTCATTACATCCATTCTGAAATAACTTTGGCTCCTTGCAATCTGATTGGCACTCAGCAATGCCATTAGCACATGTAATTACATGATTTCGGGTGCAATCTGGGAGTAACACGGGTGAGTTTTTTAAAGGCCAACCATACTGCAGTGTTTGAAAATTTATGAGTGTCGATTTAGCCCAAATTGTACGAGAAAAATGAAGTGATTACTTGTTTATAATAAATAAGAAAAAATATGATTTCCTTTTCCTCGTTTCGTGTTACGGCTCATTGGTTAGGCCGCTTACCTTTGGTTTGTTTCCGGAGAAGTTGAGCTTTTCCCTCAAGAGCTTCCTTCTAGATTTTAAACTCTTCATTATGAAAAATCGAGTGTTTGAAGTCTGAACACTCTCTATGTTAGGTATCGTTTAAAAGCTGTAATATTTACACGAAGACTACAACGCTCGCAATCTTCCACGTCTTTCTTATGAACTGTTGCGCAAAACTCCTCAAGAATTTTAATCTGACCGCCCGCTTAGTCTGTTCCAATACTTTTGTCATAGCCCAACACTTCCAAATTTTTAGCCACTCGCTTATGCTTTGTTGGGTGTTTCTTGTTCTTAGCATTCTCCTTCAAACTCTGAATTAAAAGGTTGTTACTTTCTCCTCTTCTTTCTGACATTTCATTTTGTTATGCTTTCGTAACTTTCTTCAATCAATTTCAATCCTCTTTAATGTTTGGGATTAATTGACGTGTTCTTAGCCAATGAGCATACTGAAGTTGTGCATGCACATTATTAAACTCACAAATCGTGCATTTTTTTGCATATTTTCCCAACTACTAAGAAAGCAACAATAAAACAAAACAAGCAATCAGATTAACTTCAAGGCTTGTTGGAGTAACCAATCAAATTAGGGGAAAATACAAACACAAATACAAATACATGTACAAGATTTTGTAACATATGTCCCCAGACCATTTTTAAAATTCATGATTACACTTTTGATAAAATTTTGCATTTTGTGATTTCATGGTTGTAATAGAGTGGCAATTGAGCTGATTGGGATTCACTTTGGTCTGAAATAAGGATATACTTCGGATTTAGATCAAACTCGTTCGATTTTTGTAATCACGCGTATGATTTCAGACCAAATTGCACTCTACTTAGTTCAACTAAGTTATATTCCAAAAATTCCATTTCAGTTTATTAAAATAACGCTATCTGCAATAATCCATTTTGCATTTCAATGATACCTTCTTCTTTATTTCTAAAACACTGGATAAACGAAATATACGCCATGATGAAGGAACAATCCGAGATCCTGAAGGCCATCGGTCGCCGTCAAGGGGTGGAAGATACTGCATCAAACAGGAAGAGTATTATTGAGGCTTAGAGTATTATATAAGGCTTTTAAACTTTTAACTTAAAAGTCAACAGTTGAACATTAAAAACATAACTTCAAAAAAAATGCAGATGATATTTGATGGAAGACACGAAGAATCTT